ACAGAGTATTTGCATCTTGGTAAACATGTGTTTGCAGTGGCGTACTGAGGGGGGGGGGGCGGAGGGGGTGGTCCGCCCCAGGTGCCAGCAGGGTGGGGGGTGCCTTGGGAGGGAGCGCCGGCCCCCCCATGCTGCAGCCGCCCGAGCGCTCTGTAGAGAGCCTCAGGCGGCTGCAGCTTTGCCCGGGCGGTGCGTCCATGAGGGCGGACCGCACCGCCCGGGCGCAGCCTGAGGAGAGGGGCTGACAGGAGGGAAGCGCTCAGCGCTCCCTCCTGTCACTCCCTCTGTTGTAGCATGGCCGAGCCCTCTATTGGTCCGCGGGTACAGGGAGCAGCTGTCTCCTGTACCCGGCCGGACTAAAAGGAAGTGCACACTGAGTGCAAACAAAAGCTCCCTGTACCCGCGGACTATACTGGGCTCGGCCACGCTACAACAGTAGAAATTAGGAGGAGGTGGGGGGGAGAGAGAAAGATTGGGAGGAGGAGGGGGGGGGGAGATTGACATTCATCACACACACATACACACAATGCACCCCTTGCACACAGAAAAACACACAATGCATTACACACAGACACACACCCCGCATATACACAGAAACACACCTTGCAGCCCTTACACATACAAACACAATTTCACACAATGCATTCCTTACACACATATCAGGACATCCCCTACACACTCCACCCCTTGTGAACAAACTCATTTGTGGAACATGAAGGTGGACCCTGGGACCCAGACCTTGAGCTGTGTAAAGGACACCCAAAAAATGGAGCTGCTTCCCGTTCTCCCAGAACATTGATTTTTGTGACCACAGTTACAAACCGCCTCCAGAGAGCCTGTTCTACACCAGACCAGTGGAGCCAGACTGCAGCTAGAGCCCATCATCATCCTCATCTGGTTGTAAGTAGGCAATCTAGTATATTATTCGTGGCACTAAGCTCTAATTTACCTCACATTAAAGAAACACTATAGTCCCCAGAACCACTGCAGCTTAATGTAGTGGTTCTGGTGTCTATAGCCTGTCCCTGCAGGCGTAAACACGGCGGCACTGCAGCACTGGCGTTAGTTAACATGGCAAATCATATGGGTGGGGCATTGTGATGTCACATGGGGGGGCGGAAAACTTTACTTTTGCCTAGGGCGGCAAAAATCCTTGCACCGGCCCTGGCTGGAGGGGGCTGTGTGAGATGTGGCCGCACAGTGCCCCATGGTAGTTAGGGTGCCGTGCGGCCAGTACAGCTCACACAAGCAAACCGCTGATAAACTGGCCGCAAGGAGGAAAAGTGGGGCGGAGCTAAGCAAAATCAGGGGCTGAGCCAAACTGGCACTGGGGCGGGGCTTAATATGGCCCTTACCCACTGCTGTTAGGAGGTGCAGCAAGATGGAATCTCTGCTTCTCCACAGGCTTCAGAGAAGGACTTCAGGGAATCCAGTCCTCCTCCATCCCACTGTCTGTAAGTAAGAGTGTGTATCTGTGTGTGTGTGTGTGTGTGTGTGTGTGTGTGAGACTGTCTGTGTGTAACTGTCTTCCTGTAACTGTGTGTGTGCGTGTGACTGTCTGCCTGTAACTGAGTGTGTGACAGTCTGCCTGTAACTGAGTGTGTGACTGTCTGCCTGTAAATGTGTGTGTGGGGCTGCAGGGATTTTGTAGAAGGGGGCGGGGGGTTTGTATTGGGACAGGAGTCTTTATAAGGGGGATAAGCAGGGGATTTGTGGAAGGGGATTGCGGGGGTTTTGTAGACTGGGCAGTACAGGATTTGTAGAAGGGGCGGGACAGAGGTTTTGTAGGAGGGGCGGGGCAAGACAAGGGTTTTGTAGGAGGGGCTGACAGTGGTTTTGCAAAGTTTACAAATTGTAAAAAAAAAAAAAAAGAAAGAAAACCTTTAACATTTTTTACAGATTTTTTTTTCTTTTGGGGGGGTGGGTGTGGGGGGGGGCGTGCCAAGCACAGGATCCGCCCCGGGTGCCAAATTCTCTAGGCACACCCCTGATCCCAAAGGATGTTCATCACCACTAGAGTATGATGAGCCACTATCTGATGAGATGGGCCTATGATGAGGATGTTGTCCAAGTAATGAAATTTTTCTATACCAATATCTCATATAAAGGCTATTAGTGTGACGAGAACCTTTGAGAACTTCCTTGGTGCCAAGCTGAGACCAAACGGTAGGCCCCGAAATTGAAAGTGTTTCCTGGGAATCCAGAATCTGAGGAACTTCATATGATCATTGTGTATAGGGATTTGGTAGTAGGTGTCCCTCAGGTCTATAGAAGTCATCCATTCACATTTTTTGATGTTCTTCATGATTGTTTGTAGGGATTCCATTTTGAATGTTCTTACGTTGAGCAAAGAATTTACTTTTTTCTAGTCCAGAGTTAGGCGTCACTTCCCGTGTGGTTTTGGCACCAAAAACACTGTGGAGTAGATACCCTGGAATCTTTCTGCTTTTTGGTCTTCTTGTATAACACCTTGTTCCCAAAGAGTAGAGATGCATTCCATCATAGACTTTTGTTTAGTACCTATTGATACCCTTGATTTTCAGAAGAAATCTGTTCTTGGGTGTTGTGGACAAAGATATTAACCCAATCCATGTTGGTAAAATGCCTATTTACTCAGTATAACTACAATCAGCATTATTCAACTTTATATGTGATTTACCTAAAAATGGCCACTAGGGAGTTTCCCCTTGACATCGACTAACACCCTCATTAACAAGATGGCGCTGGAATCTGGGGGAGACCTCCAAGATACCAGTGACATCACACCCGGTAGGAAGAGCAATAAAATGGACCACTTAACACCTAACCAATTATTGATGTATTATTCCATGTTATCTCTGACAATGCATATGTTGTAATCTTGCTTTATAAGGGACATGCCGTCCCCTCAGAATAAACATTCCTCAAGTTTTTCATTAACCCGAATCCTGTGTCTGGTGTGAATTACTTTAGGAGCGTGCACGCATTACTTCTTAATTTGGCAGGGGGCAGATATGCAAGATAATCAATTAATTAATTGATTCCACATCATTGGGTAAAAGGAGAACTCTATTCTGTCACCTTCTCTTATGATGGAATTGACTCAGCCGTCTGTGATATTTGCAGCCCAAACAGGGTAGAAGAACTGTAGTCTTATTTATTTCTCCAAGGTGAGGAAAAGGGCTTCCTTCTCTCTTGTGGCAAAAATGCTTTTTTGCCATCTGCAGCCTTTTGTATGGCTTCATCCAGGACCTTACCAAATAATAAATCCCCCCCCGTAGAATGCACCGGAAATGTGGGTCTAT